CTTTTCCCCCGGTTTTTTCAATTCAATTTCGGCTGTTAATCGACCGGGCGATCATCGCGGGCAGTCTGTCTCACATTTTCCGAAGTGGCATTACCCGCGCCCGTTGCGCCCCTTGTCAACAACAACCCCGCGAATCCTCTCCCACCAACAACCCACCTTGACCTGGCGCAAGCGCACCCTTGAATTTTGAGCCAGCCTTGCTCTTTGCCCTCGTCACACCTGCCATCATGGATGGGGACGAGCTGATCGCCTCGGTCTTCCGCAAGATCGAGCGGGAGAAGGCCCTCATCACCGCTGCCAGTAACATGCGGCAGTCAACCGACAATCCCCTCGTGCAACAGAGAGTCGATGCCAACATCCGCGATGGTCGCAAGAATATCGCTTACCTGGAGGAGAAAATGAGGGAATTGCAAATCCGTCAGATGAACCAGGATGGTGGCTCACCCGGCCAGCGTGGAGGTCCGGCGCCCCCGCCCAAAGACCACCCCGGATACGCTGGCGAGCAAGGTGATGGTCACTACCCTCAGGGTGGCTCTGGCTCCATGCCTTCTGGTGCCCCATTCTCCGACCCCCGACCTTACGCTCCGATCCCGAAGGCAAGGCCCAATTACACGAAGCTAGGTACGTTTTTGCATACCGCTCCTGCCAAACCCTTCAAAAAAATGCTGCGCTGAGCTTAGATCGCTTGGAACGCTAATATGAGGCTACGTATCAGATTTGATCAAGTATGACACTCCGTACCTCGGGCCGAAGATCCAACTCATGCTTTCTCAATTGGAGTTCAAGCTGAGCGTCGAAATGCAATATAAAGCCGGTATCGAAAAGATGGTCCGCTTGTACCAGGATGAGGGTGACCGGAAGAGCCGAGCTGACGCTGAGGGCCGTCGAATTGAGAGCAACCAAAAGATTCAGCTTCTAAAGCAGGCGCTAAAGCGATACGAGGACCTTCATGTTGATATTGAATCCGCCGATGCGCCAGACGGTATGAAAATTATGGCAATTTCGCTGTGGGATGCGACATGGTCACTAACTTGTGTGCAGATGAGAGTCTTAGTAGTCCGAACATGCGCAAGCCGCTGACGGGTCTACTGACAATGCGCATCCATGCGGTCAAGGACGTGGACCATGCGGCTAGTTCGCGATTCTCTCGAGGACCAGAGACATACATTGTCGTCAAGGTTGAAGACACGATCAAAGCGAGAACCAAGGCCACCCGAAACGATAAATGGCTGGACGAAAGCTTTTCCATGGATATCGATAAGGCAAACGAGATCGAGTTGACTGTTTATGACAAGTCAGGAGATCGCCCAGTACCAATCGGTATGCTTTGGGTGCGCATTTCTGACATTGCAGAGGAGATGCGTCGCAAGAAAATTGAGACGGAATTGAACGCGTCTGGCTGGGTGTCCGCAGATAAGATGGGCGATGGCGGGTCCCCTCGACATGACCACGCGGGTGCTCCTATGGGCTCTTCACATGGCCCTAGCTCCGGAGGACGTCCGGGAACCTCGGGGCATGGTGGACATGGACACCACGGTGGCGAGAGCTCAAATGCTCCCCCGACTGTGACGATCGATTCATGGTTTGCCCTAGAACCGGTTGGCCGAGTTCAGCTTCAAATGAGCTTCGGTAAGAATAACTTGCCTTAACACCAAGAGAAGTAGCCCATTGTGCTAACTGGATATAGCCAAACAATTGAAGGACCGCCGTCCCTTTGACATTGGTCTTAACCGTCAAGGTGCCGTGCGTCAAAAGAAGGAGGAAGTTCACGAGAAGCAAGGGCACAAGTTCGTCACCCAGCAGTTTTACAACATTATGCGCTGTGCACTGTGTGGAGAATTCCTCAAGTATGCTGCCGGCATGCAATGTGCGGATTGCAAGTACACGTGCCACCGCAAGTGTTACCCCAAGGTTGTCACCAAGTGTATCAGCAAAGCCAACTATGAGACCGATCCGGACGAGGAGAAAATCAACCACCGCATTCCCCACCGATTCGAAGGCTTTTCCAACATCTCCGCTAACTGGTGCTGCCACTGCGGTTATCTGCTTCCGTTTGGACGCAAGAATGCCAAGCGCTGTTCTGGTAGGCAATATTACTGACATCGTAGATTCTTTCTAGTCCATACTGACCATTTGTATAGAATGTAGTCTTACATGTCACGCTCAGTGCACTCACCTTGTGCCCGATTTCTGTGGAATGACGATGGAAGCCGCCAACCAAATTCTCGAGACATTGATTCGCACCAAGCATCACAACAAATCTGCCTCTGTTAGTTCTGGTCTCAGCAACCGTACCCTTCGAGCAGGCGGTCCGCCGCAGCCCGCTCAAGACCACGCTGCCCTCTCCTACCCCCAGAAGCCGATGGAAGGACCCTACGGGGTTATTCCTAGACAACCCTCCGCAGAAGCGGTAAGCGCTGCCACTAACTCCTTCATGACCCCACAGTCACCAACTGCTGTTGCACAGGCTGCACAGCGCCAACAGATACCACCGAAATCGCCGACTGGACCTGCCGCCGCCGCTGCTGCCGCCGCCGCAGCTACTGGGCTACGTAGCCCCCAGCAAGCCCCAAGTATGCAATTTCTGATTATGCGTTGAAGACTCTCAGTACTAATCAAATCTTAGCCGAAATGGGCCGTCCTACGCTGCCACCCCAGGCACCCCCGCAGCCTCAACACGCCCATTATGACCCATCCGCTTATGCCAATTTCCCTCAGCAGCCGCCACCCCAGGCTATGCAGAAGGTACAGCCTTCGGGTTATCCAATGGCACCGCCTCCGCAGCCCATGCAGCAACAGATGCCCCAACAACAGCAAGTTGCACCCCCTATCAAGGAAGATACTGCAGTGCAGGCAAAGGCTCGCATTGGGTTGGATCACTTCAATTTCCTTGCTGTTCTCGGAAAAGGTAATTTCGGAAAGGTCATGTTAGCTGAAACAAAGAGCTCCCGCAAGTTGTATGCCATCAAGGTGTTGAAGAAGGAATTCATTATCGAGAACGATGAAGTGGAGAGCACCAAGTCCGAGAAGCGTGTTTTCCTGATCGCAAACAAGGAACGCCACCCATTCCTTCTCAACTTGCATGCTTGTTTCCAAACTGAAACTCGTGTCTATTTCGTCATGGAGTATATCAGTGGTGGTGATCTCATGCTGCACATTCAGCGTGGCCAATTCGGCCTCAAGAGGGCACAGTAAGTCCTATCCTTGGTCTTTGCCCTATTTTTGGGGTTATGAATGCTCACATTTCTTAGATTCTATGCCGCCGAGGTCTGCTTGGCACTCAAGTACTTCCACGAGAACGGTGTCATCTACCGTGACTTGAAGCTCGATAATATTCTGCTGACCCTGGATGGTCACATCAAAATTGCTGATTATGGTCTTTGCAAGGAGAACATGTGGTACGGTGGTACGACTAGCACGTTCTGCGGTACTCCTGAATTCATGGGCCCGGAAGTAAGTGGGATCAAGTTTGATTGTGTTTTTTCAAGTATCGATGAGCTAACTTTTTTTTTAGATTTTGCTGGACAAGAAGTATGGACGGGCTGTGGATTGGTGGGCGTTCGGTGTTCTCATCTACCAGATGCTTTTGCAACAGTCTCCGTTCCGTGGTGAAGATGAGGATGAAATCTACGATGCTATTCTTGCCGACGAACCTCTCTACCCCATTCATATGCCTCGCGACTCCGTGTCGATTCTCCAGAAGCTGTTGACTCGTGAGCCCGAGTTGCGTCTGGGCTCCGGTCCCACCGATGCCCAAGAGGTGATGTCTCATGCCTTCTTCCGCAACATCAACTGGGATGACATCTACCACAAGCGGGTTCCCCCTCCATTCATCCCCACAATCAGCAGTCCTACCGACACCAGCAACTTCGACCAGGAATTCACCAGTGTGACTCCAGTCCTGACGCCTGTACAATCTGGTAAGATCATTTTGTTTTTGTTTTTTTTTTTTGGTGTTTACTGGAAGATGAACTGCAACTAACCGATCCTTTTTATTTAGTGCTTTCGCAAGCCATGCAGGAAGAATTCCGAGGATTTTCCTATACTGCCGACTTTGCTTGATTCCACCGATATCTGATCGGGATAATTATTGCTTGCTTGGACACCTGTCACGAGTTGTTAACGGGGGTGTCAATTCAGTTCATAGGCGGTTAATGCCGACACATCCGGTTTCTTCAGGGCGCCGCGGGTCTCCCGCCCTTTCCAGCACTTCTTGATCTTCAAATTGCTTCAACATACCCAATCGCAGTCTCGTTTTAAGTGCCGGTGTGGACCGGACCTCACTGACATGCTTCGACCGCCGGATACCATGGTCAATGAAACCTCCAGGTTGCTTTTGCTTTCTCGATTTCTTTGTGTGCTTATCTAAATTGCTTGCTCTATTTTTCCCCTTTCGAGTTCTTTGTTTCTGTCTATGTTTTCCTGCCGACTGGTCGGGTTTATGACTCTAGTCTATGTCGGGCATTTGATGTCCAAAAAAAATGGAGAAGGGACGGGGTCCCATACGGGAATTGCGTGGAGTGGTTACGAGAGTCTGATGAGAAATGACGAAGTTTGAAGATCTATGAAGATAGCGTAGGTCCCTTCAGGGACTCGTGCGCGTTTATGTCCGGTATTATGTTCTAGCGGTTCGTGGTATGGAGAGAAGGAGATACAAATACGAACTAATCTATCTCATCTGTCTATTTCGTAGTTGGATCGTGGTTTCATATGTACTTGGGCACATATAGATGGATGCACCTGCCCTCTCTCCTTTCAGGCCGAGGGTTGCCCTAGGTACCTCGTTCCTTCCCAAATAGGAAGCCAAACTTCGTGTCCTTCCTCTGTTGCGCCTTCCTCTCTTGCGAAAACACGTCCACGTTTCTTTTGTTTACCTTTGTCCTCTTGTCCTCCTTCCTTCTTCTCTTCTTTTCCAATCTACCACATCTTTTTGACACTGTTCATCCAGCCACGTTTCTTTGTTCCAGAAATAGATCAAGCTACCGAGGTCTATTTCAAAGATGCTGCCAAAAGTTAAACGTCTGTTTCGTCCGGGCTCTCGGGCCTTCAGTAGACCTATTGAGCCCGTGCCTATGAGCAGAAAAGAGAACCTGCCTTCGGGAAACAAAGAACCCTCGCCCCCGGCTAACAAAGAACACACCCCTCAGTCCACTCCAAAGGTGAGCCAACCCCCGTCGAGCTCCAATCCCATCAAGAGATGGCTCGAGAACGTGACTCCCCGTTTATCGGTCTCCCATTAACAGGGTGCGACCCAAAGTCGATAATATCGACTTCCACATCGACTTCTCTGAGAGTTCGGACTCAGGATTCCCTCCAGCCTGGTTCGACGAAACTTTGGAAAACGATCCTGAGATTCGACGCTTTTTGTGTGAGGACGACATTCCTCACCACGAAGTGTATTCGGGATTTCGCTCAACTCACCACACCCCCCGCTACCAACCAGAAACTATCATCAACTCACGTCCTTCTCCCTCTCCTGTTACCCCGGTCCTGCCACAACCAACAGTTGCAGCTCTTCCCCTCGACCACCCGGAGGAGCCGGCAAGCTCCTCATCGCTGAACACTATGCCTGACACGGTTATTCAGTTCAATCAACAGGGCCAGGTTGTAAGTTTATCTTTGTCTTAACTTATCATATCACTTTAACCTCAGTCATCTGTCACTCACCAGTCCACTCTCACTTACATTTTACTGACTCACATACTAGGTGACCTCAGCCGAAAAGCGAGCCTTCTTCCCTAATGGCACGGAGCATCAGCACCCGGCTAAGCGAGTTAAACCCGAGCCAGAGGGCTCCGCGACAAAACGCAAGCGGTCCGAGGACACCAACGCCAGTGGGGACGATGAATGGGACTCCGATCCGCCCACCTCGCCTGAATACAAAATCTCCAGTGCGAGTGATGGTGATGACAGCGACACCAGCGAGGCTCCTTCCTCACCATGCGTGAAGCGAGTAAAGAAGGCTGCTCCGCATCCCCCGGTCAAGAACGGCCGCTCACTTAAGCCCAAAGCCAAAAGGACCAGGAAAAAGAAGAAGAAGACATGGGATTCGGATAGGTCAATGTCTGAGCCAAGTGACCTCGACTACGAGAGTGACGAAGAATTCTTCGTTCCGACAGGAGAGCGCGACGAGCTGCTCAACAATAAACTGACCCGAGAAAGGGCAAAGCGCCTACTTGACGCAGTGGAACTCCCCCAAGGCCATGACCTGTCACCGGACGTACAGCAGACTGCCCATCAACTTCTTACTCGTGGCTGCATGCCAACCCTCCACAGACACTGGGAGAAAGATTTCTCCACCCTTCCAGAGTCGCTGTTCTTTTCTGGGAAAGATGATGAAACTCAGCGTAAGGAATCTAACTTCGTCCTTGAAAACGATAAGGGTTCCGAATTTTACGCGATCCGTGCATTTCAAGAGCTTTTAAAGATATGTGGAAATGTGAGGGACTACTGCAATATCCTTGATATATGTCCCGGAATCTACATCAAGAAATCAATAGAGAAATACCTCCGCTGGGCATTGACTGATGCCGGTGTCAGAGTCCATCCGGACACACCCCCTGTGCACGTCATTTACTGCAAACATCAGGACGAAGAGCCAAAAGAAGCCTTTAGTAAAGTTGCCAAAGCATTCGAGAACCTATTGAATACATGGCAGAGCCAACTCGCTGCACCCCATTATGGCGAAGAAGCCTGGCCGGCATTGATTGGATTCGTTCTCTGTGGACCTGTTCTTTCTGTCATCTGTCTGGACACCAATCCCCATCCGCAGACCCAAACACAAGGAATCAAGTTCCTTGGCCATTTCGACCTTTCAGATTTTGATCATGATGTCTGGAACACCCTGGCTATCGCGATCCTTGTCATGCACATCAAAAGGACCGTGACCAAACTCGCGAAGGCCTACGGTCACAGGTTTGTGGCCTCGATCTTTGATAACCCTAATATGGGTTCCCCGGATCCTGATCGTTAATTTTCATCATGTTACACTGACATCTATGAGATTCTTGGCTGCAATCACAATTATGCATGTCACCAACGAACTCTCGAAATATATATATATCAAATGAACCATGCTGGAAAACAATATCCCCTTGATCTTCCACGATTTACCCGCAATCGAGAGACTTGAGTTCAATCAGACGGTGATGCTCCCTGCCACAATCATCCCAGGTTGATATGCATGCCTTTCTTTGATGGCACGATTCGGGGAATTTTGAACCCTCATTAGCAATTTAGCGTGTGAACTTTCAGCCATGTACAATTAGTTTAGTGAATAACGTGATTTAAATGTACAACATTGTATATTGTAGATGATAAGTTCGCGCCAAGTACGAATTCTCATGTATGCTAGTGGAGCTCATTTCACGCCTGAAGCCACTATCGCCAATAACGGAGCTGCTGTGACGAATGTAAGGATTGCTTCATCAAATCTCCACTTTTGTTGAATACTTGTCTTCCCCTGTTCTTAAATGATATTTGAATCGTCCCTTTGTATTTCATGAACTCGATCTAAAGAATGATACAGTGTGCTGTTGGGAATCCGGAGAGCTCCTAGCGCCCTAAGAAAAAACCTTCCAAGATGATCTCCGAAGATCGGGCCACAGAATCAAGCCCTTTGCTGCGCGACGTCGATACAGAGGCAGCACACAATTCCAAGAAGTCAGGATGGCGTCAAGAATTAGCAATTATCTCGCGATACTCGGCCCCTCTCATAATATCGCTCCTGCTCCAGCATGCATTAACTGGTTCTAGCATCTTCATGGTGGGCCATCTGGGGAAACGAGAAATCGGGGCCGTGAGCTTGGCCAACATGACTGCCCAGATTACCGGATATTTTGTATTCCAAGGGCTAGCAACATGCTTGGATACTCTATGCCCTCAAGCATACGGCTCGGGGAATTTTACCTTGGTCGGGCTTCAGGTTCAACGATTGACGCTTTTCATGCTTGTCCTCACAATCCCAATTGGAGCGATATGGTGGAATGCGGATCGAATCTTTCTCCTGATTCTACCGTCCGAAGCCCATGAGACGGCTCTTCTCGCAGGGCTATATCTGAAAATTGCGATCGCGGGCGCTCCCGGCTATGCTTGCTTTGAGTCTGGAAAGCGATTTTTCCAGGCACAGGGATTGTTCAGTGCTAGTCTGGTAGTTCTGTTGATATGTTCTACATTGAATATTTTCATGGGGTGGTTATTTGTTTGGGTATGTTATTCAACCTTAAGAATCCCCCCGAGCCATTCACTGATATCCCTTCTTTTGCAGAGACTGCAATGGGGCTTCATCGGTGCGCCTATCGCCGTTGCGATCGCAAACAGCCTTCTGCCCATCTTGCTGGCATTCTACGTCATCTTCATCGAGGGCTCCGAATGCTGGCACCCCATTTCTACCGAGATTTGGCGCGGCTGGGGGCCAATGTTGCAGCTTGCCATCCCAAGTTGGCTAATGATCGAAGCTGAGGTCCTCGCATGGGAATTCATGACACTCATTTCCTCCCGTCTAGGTGCGACTGAGCTCGCAGCCCAGGCTGCTATGTCTACACTTTCGGACTTCGCATTCCAAATTTCGTTTTCTGTCGCTGTTGCTGGCGGCACACACATGGCCTATTTGATCGGATCGGGCTTCCTCCAGCGTGCGGCAACAGCAGCCAAGGTTATGGTTTTTGCTAGCTTCGGTGCTGGTATAACAAATATGCTTGTGATTCTTGCTCTCCGGAGAGTCATTCCGGGCTTATTCAGTGATATCGGCGAGGTCTGGCACTACATCTTCTTCTTGCTTCCATTGGGTGCTGTCCTTCAAATTCCCGACGCCGTGGCTACTTCCCTTAATAGCTTGCTGCGGGCTGTGGGACGACCGGACCTAGGTAGCTATGTTCAGCTCTCGATCTACTACCTTGTGGGATTGCCCTTGGGCATTGCTTTCGCATTTTGCTTGGGCTGGAGCGTTTTCGGGCTGTGGTGTGGAATCTTTATCGGCCAGTCGATCATTGTGTCGATCGAAGGCTTTTATTTCTGGAAAATGGTGGACTGGGCGAAGGCATCTCGAGAAGCGGTAGAGCGGATGTGATCATGGAGTGGGCTTCTCAAGCTTGAGCGACGGGCGGGATGGCTTCAAAAGCTACAAATATATCGAATCATGCACTACGAATATAGAATAACTTTTCTCCCTTGTCTGCTTGTAGATTACAGAAGAACTCGTTTGGTGAACGGAGTAGTAAACTTGCTATATACTTAGTCATCACATGACCGGTCCCACTTGTTGACGCTATTCCCAATCCTGCAATCTTCAAGACTGCGTCACCCAGCATTCAACCATGGATGCCGCCGAGGATAAAGATGTGAAGCTTCAACGAGCCTCTGGGGATTTGGTGTCCGAGCTTTCCGCCAAGTTGCCCTCGTTATTGTGGAAAGTCCAGACTGGGACTCCCCTCCGCACCCCACGTAAATGGGCGCAGGTCACCAAAACAGAGAAGCTTGTCCGCCTTGTAAGATCGTACCGCATAATTCTCTCTTGATTATCTTTCTGCTCTTATTTACTGATGGTATCGACAGCTTGAACCCTTTCAAGAGTGGCCTCAACTCTTAGATCCACATTTGCAGAAGTTGCTGCCTCCTTTAGTGGACGCTTTTCTAGCATATCTGACCAAGCACCGCACCCAGTATGGCTCTGTCTCGGCGAAGTCATCCCAGGCAGGTAACATGTATCCCCTACCAAGAGCAATCTGCAGGTTACTTTACACTTTCTGCAAAGTCCGTGGCGTCAAGGTGATTAGCAGGTTCTTAAACAATGAGCCGAAATATCTTGATTCAATGGTCCGGGCCTTCATCGAATGGGATGCAGCCTGGCCACCCAATTCTGAAGAGCCGGTCGAAGCTGAAACCCAGCGACTCATCTGGGAAGAACGCTATGTGATGCTGGTCTGGCTTGCACATCTTCTGCTTGCTCCTTTCGACTTGTCTTCTTTATCATCAGATAGCATTCCGGTGCCCTATGACAATTTGCAACAACTGACTTGGTTACCATCTAAGACCCCTATGGTTGCTAGGTCGCTTCTTTCCTTGTCGTTGCACTATATTGGCGCGTCGGGCAAAGAACGCGAAGCAGCGACAGCACTTTTGGCACGATTGGCTTTGCGTGGAGACATGCAAGCTCTCGGTGTACTTGCAGGTCTGACGAAGTGGGTGTTTGCTGTAATTCGGCCGACGGCGAACGTCGAACCCCCCTCTGTCTATGCTTGTATTGGGGTGCTCACATACATTGCTCGCTTGGGCGCATCGGGCCAGGTAGAAGACTTTGCTCCCTTGATCAATTATGTCTTCCAGCAAACTCTCAGCGTATTTCAAGGAAAGTCTTCAGTGTCTGCGACAATCCAATCTTCGGCTTTGGCCAGAAAGATTGTTGTCAAGATCCTTCGCAACATCACAGTCATGGCCTTATCTTTGAATGAGCGAGGTGACCCCCGCATCAATGATGATCAGTTATCGACCATATTGGAAGATGCAATCGATCATTTCTTGGTCTCCTTGGCCGACAAAGATACACCCGTGCGATTTGCCGCGAGTAAAGCACTCAGCATCATCACTTTGAAATTAGACCCAGAAATGGCGGCCGAGGTCATCGAAGCGGTCATCGGCTCATTGGGAGAGAATATCCTCTTCGAACGAGATGATGGCTCCCTCGTGACGCCATTCGAAGCGTGGAAGATTGGCACACACACCCTTAAGCGTAATCTCAGTGCAGTCGATGCCCAGCGGTGGCAAGGATTAATGCTGACACTGTCACATTTACTTTTCCGCCGGGCACCTCCTATTCACCAGCTCTCTGAGATTCTTCAATCACTTGTGTCTGGTTTGGGCTTCGAGCAAAGGTCTTCTACTGGTGGCTCTGTGGGAACTGGTGTTCGAGATGCGGCATGCTTCGGTATTTGGGCCATGTCTCGAAAGTACACAACACGAGAACTCCGGGTGTTGCAACCCCAGGTAGTAGCGTCGCAATCTGGCCAGAAAGAGGTCGATGTCCTGCAAAAGCTGGCCGTTGAACTCATCTGTGCTGCCTGTATCGACCCGTCTGGGAACATCCGACGTGGGTCGTCAGCTGCGCTGCAAGAGTTAATTGGTCGTCACCCCAATACCATCGCGCAGGGCATTCCCCTCGTGCAGGTTGTGGATTATCACGCCGTTGCACGGCGTTCTCGTGCACTAATTGATGTTACTAAAGCAACAGCCTCTCTAGATCAGATTTACTGGAACCCACTTCTGGACGCTTTGATGGGTTGGAGAGGCATTGGTTCTCCAGATGCCGAGTCCAGAAGGCATGCGGCTAAGTCTATTGGAACTCTGAGTACGCAGGAGCTATTCAAAACCATTAAGCTGGTCCTAGATAAATTGCTACAGAAGTTCCCCAGCATCTCTCGGAATGATGTGGAATCACGACATGGCTGTCTGTTGTCTATTGCTGCCACAATCGATGCTTTTACTTCCCAATGGGAAGCATCAGCAGAGACGAGAGATACTCCGGAAGCCAGGGCTGTTTCGTTCCAAGTGGCCAATATCTGGGATACCTTCGGTTTTGCATCAAGCCCTACCGATGATGACCTGACCTTCCAGACTTCACGCCCCGAGCTGACAGCCGAAGCGTCATCTTGCTTGATCTCCTCGCTCTCTCGGTCTACCATCACAACAGGTCTGGGCCAACCTTTAGAACCACTTCTGAACCGGGCACTCCATGTTCTGTCCCTCTGTGTTTCTCGAAATGATGATATCTCGATTGAGACGTCTTCAACCGCCTTAGCGCAGCTGTTTCCTCTTCTATTGCCATCAAAGCAGGAAGAAACCGTGCGTACTTGGTTCTCTCATCTCCGTACTTCGTGGAGATTGCCGACAGGTCGCGGTCAAATTTCAGCACTCGGTACAGTGTTCAAGCAACTCGGAGCACAAAGTGATGTCCAAGAAGACATCGTCACCGAGATTCTTCGTTACACCGGGAAGGACGAGCTCATCGAGAAACGAGTTGCTGCCGTGAAGTGCTTGGCCACCAGTATCTTGCCCTATATGGGTATGTTGAATATATTTTGTTTGCTAGCGGGTACAAGCATGGGCTAACAGAATCTTAGCTGCACCCGACACAATCGCAAGCAAGTTCATCGAATTCTTGAATGATTACACTACTGACAGACGAGGTGATATTGGATCTCTTATTCGAGTCGAGGCAATCCAAGCAGTCGGCATCTTGCTTCAAAGACAATTGGACTCAGTAGCACGCTCACCACTTATTCAAAATTTGGTAGGGTGTCTTTGTCGCCTTGCATGCGAAAAGCTCGACAAGGTCAGACTACAAGCATGGCTTGCTCTACAAGGCTTCTGGGAGTCAGCAAGGGATCTACCTCCAATTGAAAAGTAATCAATTACCAATAAAGCAACCATTCTATAGCCGATGCTAACAAAAACAGGAAATTCGAACACTTCAGTCATGTTTCATCACAAGAGTACTTCGCTCAGCTACTTACTCTGCAGGATGTTGACTGGCTTCGTCTTCCCTTGTTACAAGGACTTGCTACCTCTGCTATCTCAGGAGCAGAGGGGCTCGTCCGAGCATCTCGCTCAGCTCTGACCCAATTCCTCGATTCCCAAGCCGAACCCCGACGCCAGGAGATATTGATGGTCTTCTTGCAGGATCTCTCCACAGTGCTAAGTGATAACCTTCAAGATGACCGTTTTGCCATTCCTGCAGTCGAGTTTGTTGCATTTTTAATTGACAGCTACATTCCTGCTATCCCGGAAGCCTCAGATCCAAGGTTCGTGAACTCGTCGTCTACCGCTTATTTATCTACATCATTCCCTGACATCCTCTTTCTCTCTAGTTTCCGAAAATTGTTCACGCTAGTCCAGAAAGCGCATTTCAGATCCGCAAATATAGCTCGATTGGAAGGTGCAGTCAAAGTTTATGCTGCGTTATCAAGGATTGACTGGTTACGGGAGGGTGTTTTGAAAAAGATGACCGGACTGCTTTTGCATCCTTTCCCAAGGGCACGTCAGACCTCAAACCCATAGAGTTGCGACACTGACAGTTTATTTTAGGTCCGATCAAGCGCTGCGGAATACCTGTTTGTTGTGACAGACTCTGAGATTGCCAAGTACGAAGACTGGTCTGCTTCGCCTAAACAGCTGAAGCCCCAGGTGGATAATTTGAAGGTCACTCTTTCTCTTGAAGGCTAGCTAGATAGCAGCTGCATGGAAATGCCATGGAACTTAAATATGCATCGAAGTAATAACAACAGCTGAAAATATAAGATACAAAGCATGTATGGAAATGGGGTGTAACATCTTTGGGCTTTGGTTGTGATGAGTGCTTGTAGGTGCTATGCCGGTACTTGTGCTAGTACTTGTCGTGCTGGGCTTGCTCGAGTGAGACTCCGCAAAGAAGTCAAATATGTATTGAGTCGCGTTGAATTCAGACTTGCCCAGCGGGCACTGTGCGGAATTTCGGTCAAAGTCATCATTTCCAACAGTACTTGGCCAGCAATGGCCATTGTCATTCTCGCGGTAATGCTGAACAATGCCTTTCAGTCCGTTGCAGTCCCAAGAAGCATGCTTCACAAGCGGGTCATCAAAGATAGTCACATTGCTGGTCGGCTGCGCATTGTCCCCGCATCCGTTTTGAGCCGCCCAGGCCTGCAGGACATCAATGACAGGCAGCTTATCGTCCCCGTTACCATCGATAGGAGCCGTCGTATCGACCGTACCATGAAACTCCAGGAAAGGATATCCTTGATCCCGCTTAGCGGGGGCACAAGGTCCCACACCCTTCATGTCGGCTGTGTCATACCAGGCCCCGCTGACAGCCGCAAAAGCCGCAAACCGGGTTCCAACCGTGGCGTTACAGGCAATGACGCTGGTGAATCCGCCGCCATTGGACTTGCCCGCCGAGTATACTCTGCTTGTGTCGATGCAGAGGGTCTCTTCCATATGCGTGAGCAGATCGTTGACGAAGTCTAGATCGTTGGGGCGCGACGTCTCGGCACTAGGGCTGGATAGCCAGTACCCGTTCTTGCTGTTTGGGTAGATGGCGATTCCGTTGGGGTTGAATTCCGGGTTTGAGAATTGTGACAGATCTTCTTCCTCTACCATGTCGCGCGACGCCCCGTGGAATGAGAAGTATACCGGTGTTGGCGTGTCCTTGTCATAGTTGGCAGGGATGAATAATCTGTATTCCCGGTCTGTGTCTGGGAGGGTGAGGGACTCGCTTGACCCTGCTTTTGGATACTTGGCAGGTATCTCCTGACCGCAGCCTGGGGTTTTGGCTATGCTAATGCTCGCGAGGGCTGCGAGAGATAGCAGCAATGCGAGATGCATATTGTTCTGCCCAGGTGGCCAGCTAGTAACTTGAGGAGTACATGGTTAGGGGTCTTATAGGGGATTGCGGAATTGCGGAATTGACACACAACCCCTTAGCCTGGGCTTATACCACGGGGGCCCGACTAAGGTCTCAGTTGGGTGGGCCAAAGGCACCCGCCAAGACTTTAGGACCATGGGTGAATCCACGGGTATCCGCCTAATCTCTTATCTCTCAAACCTTACATTTGCAGCGTGTGGACCTCAGGAAGGTTTAGAGATTGGGCTTGATCTCCCTGATCTACCCGTGGACACACGTCCGACATGAGTATACCCATTTTATGTCTACAACATATTAAATGAGCAGAAGCTGAGAATTGGCGAAAGGTGAAGATGATCTGCTTTTTAGTGATCGTTTAAATGCAACCCTTGGAAGTGTATTATTCTGCAATGCATAAAATTGGGCTTCACCCATGCCAAAAAGGGACGACCTAATTAAACGTACATACATGTAAGTACCAGAGGATAAGTTTCAACCCCAAACAGTTTAAAATAGTAATTCTATTGTAAGGCTACTTAATTATAGGGACACTGAAGGCCAAGAAACTGCATAGAACAAAAACAAAAAAGAATAGTGCATCATCCGTGAATCGAACACGGGCCTCGTCGATGGCAACGACGAATTCTACCACTAGACCAATGATGCTAATTGGATGAAAATGCCCCGCTGTTAAGCATTATTTGTCTATCTCCCAATTTCCATTTCCTCCGCCTCAAGTCAACCGGAAGCTCGACCTCGCTAGTTTCTAGAGCTCCAACAGTCGGAAACATGGCAGCCGTCTCAGCAGCTGGCATTCCTCCAAATGCGACGTGAGTACTATTTCTGCATAATCTGATCCTCATGCTAACGAGTCTTCACAGAGTATATGTGCGCCTGTCCCTCCCCCTCCATCATATCACCACTCCGCTCCCGCATTGCCATACTGACCGGGTTCTTTTGCACTGTTTAGGTCAAGAATCTAGACGAGCGAATCAAGATTGACCAGTTGAAGCATGCCCTGGAGGAGATTTTCTCCGAATATGGTACCATTCTAGAGGTCGTCGCAAAGACCAACCTCAAAGCTAAGGGCCAGGCCTTCATTGTCTTCGACAACGTCGAATCCGCCACCCGCGCTATTGAGGATATCAATGGCTTCGATCTATTTGAGAAGCCTATGGTTCTGGATTACGCGAAGACTCCCAGCGATGCGACAGTCCAGCGGGAGCGCGGCAACGACGAGCTGGAGGCTCACAAGCGGAGACGGTTAGCTGAGAAAGGTACGTTAAACAGACACTGGCGCAACATAAGCGAAGACTCAATTTATGCTAACGATGGTTGTTTTACAGAGCGCAAGCAAGCCCACGAGGCCCTCGAAGCACAGAAGAAACTCAAGCGTCCTGCTGCCGCCGTCGAACCCGTACGCCCAGCCAAGACCACCAAAGGTGCCGGTCTCAAACCCACCGCTGCTGCTACAACCGCCGTCGTTCCGGACGAGTACCTACCGCCCAACAAGATTCTGTTCTTGCGGGAACTGCCCGAGGACGCAACCCAGGAAGGTCTGTCTGCTATCTTTGGCCGGTTCGAAGGATTCCAGGAAGTCAGATTGGTGCCCGGTCGCAAGGGAATTGCATTCGTCGAATACGAGGCCGAGGCTGGAGCAATCAGCGCGAAGGAGGCTACGTCGGGCATGCCCATGGGCGACCAGGGCAAGGCGATCCGCGTTACCTACCAGCGACAGTAGCCGTGGTGGTTTGTTGCATCCTACAAAATATCCCGGTCTCGTTCTTTCTGGCGTTTGGAAGGTCTTGTCTCGAATACATGTGGATTAGAAATCTGGAGGGAGAGCTTTATCACTCTCTTGCTGTCGCAATGCGGCAAGATTACGTATCACATGAATTTCCATTCCCCCCAAAGTAGATGAAACAAGCCACAGGGCTAAAACGAGTATGAGCATACAAAGTAGTACATGTCATGGTCAAAAAAGAAGACGTCAACAAGAAAAGAGTGTGAATACGGAACAAAATAGCAGCCTAGAAAATGACATCGTTGTCTTCCTGCTCGCCCAGAACATCTACCGTCTCTACCTCTTTAACGGGGATAGCAGTAGCACCAGGTGCCTTCGGGTTTGCTGCTTGCTGTTCTGCAGCCATTTGCCGGGCCGCGAGGATCTCAGCATCTGCGGCAGCAACGTCCCTCTGCTTCTTGCCTGAAACCTTTTTCAGGCGGTAGAATTCCTCTCGGTCGAGCTCATCGAGTTCGGAATTGATGTCTTCAGAATGGTTAGCCTGTACAAGGGACACTGGAAGTAGACGGTACAAACATTTGATAGTGTTCTCGGTTCGAGGAATGATAACGTGCTCACTGTTCAAGATAGGTTAGTATTCCGAAAAAGGCCCCGATTCACGAGTTCCGCTCTTACATCGCATTTACTATACCAGTTAGTTACCAGCCATAAGCCATCACAATCCACGAGAAAACGACTTACCTCTTCGGTTGACAACCTTGATCACCTCATCCAGAATCAGGAAGGCAGTCTGGCACAATCGGTGAGTGATATCCCAATCCACTGCAGAGACACCATGCATACCTGTAAGCTCGCCAGTTCCACCAATGTCTCCACGGCCCGTGCATATGTCTCCCGACAGCGTTGAATCTGCTGTCCTCCCTTTCCTAGACCTGTTAGACCGAAGTCATTGACGCCCTCCTGTGTGTAGCTTTCAAATGTAGGTAGAAGAACACCAGAGACATTCTCTTGCTTGGCTCGCACGCGGAAACGAGCTTGCTTGGCGGACTCCTGGATCTGGTAGCCGATATCTCCGCCTACCGCATAGGTCACTTCCGCCAGTGAGAAGGCGGCAATCTGCATGACCCGACCCATCTTTTGTTTGGCTTCATCGATGCGGCGTGTGATGTCTGTCGCAAGTATGATTAGCGCCTCGATAAGGTGGGGAACGGGAATGTGTCGCATCATACCTCGGAAACGTCTGTTGCACAGAGTAGAGGGTTAGCATATACTTCAAGAAGCAAGAAATGCACATGAATCTCACTTTGTTAGAGCTTCACTTTTTCTCTTCAGTAAACTATGGCCAATCTCCGCCCCCTTTAGCTTGTTCTTCATCAACCCCAATGATTGACGAGTCGGGAATACTGCCTCTCGGCCCTGAAAAGAGATCAGATGAGGTCAATATGAGAGTCCATTTCACAATAAACTCACCACAGCGCCGGACATGATTGCAGCAGAACAAAGATCACAGTATAGTGCTTGTTGTTCAGCTAGAGCAATGCGGCCACATTGGTATGACGCCGATAAAGCTCCACCGCCCACCCGATACAGATTAATCACGTGATACAATCAATGGTGGGAACCTCATCCGTCAACGGGTTTTGGCTCTAAACGCACGCCAGCAGCCTCTTGTTTGTGCAATTTTCCTTTATGCTGACACGTTGATTGTGTAATTGGATTTCGCTCGACTGAGTGGCGCAATGCCAGGGACGCTTTTGCCCCCGAGATCCCACCGGCAGCACGCAGAGATGGATCGACCATCTGCGTCCCGGCCCGACCTCTACTTGATTGTAAGTTTTGACCCATTGGACCATTTGAACTCGAGGCTTACTTGAATTCTATTCCTAGACTGATCAAGACATCATCTACGAACAAGACCTGCTTCGCGACGCTAGTAGTGTCAAGCCGTGGCTTGCCTATATCGAATTTAAACAGCAAAATGGCACCCTCTATGAGCAAGCATTTGTATGTCGTCACCCACCACAACCCAATCGCCGAAGGTCGTCACTAATCTAATGGCTTTTATTAGGTCATGGAGCGCGCTTGCAAGCAATTACCGCGTTCCTACAAGCTCTGGAAGATGGTATGTGACATTTCTCTTTTTTTTCTAAGAGGAAAACCTCCAAGTCTCTACTTTTACTGACTGTCCTAGTATCTGGAATTCCGAACAAAGCATTTGAAAGGCCGCAATGCCACGGTCTATCGCGCCGAATACCAGAAAGTAAACGCACTCTTCGAACGGGCCCTGATACTGCTGAACAAGATGCCGCGCATCTGGGAGATGTACCTCTCCTTCCTGCTACAGCAGCCCATGGTGACCCAGACTCGACGAACCTTCGACCGTTCCCTTCGCGCTCTGCCGGTCACGCAGCACAACCGAATCTGGAGACTGTACAAAGGCTTCGCTCGGTCTGCTTCCGGACAGACCGCCATCAAGATCTTTGCTCGGTATATGCAAATTCGGCCCGAGAACATCGAGGATTACATAGAGCTTCTCGTTGAAAATGGGGAATATACGGAAGCCGTGAAGAAATTCATGGATATTCTCGACGAACCGCGATTCAAGTCCAAACTTGGCAAGGGTCCATTCCAGTTATGGTCAGAGATGGTTGATCTCCTAGTCTCCAAGGCCAAGAATATTGAGACCGGCCCTCAGGTCGGAATTGACGTTGATGCCATTCTCCGGAGTGGTATCGAGCGCTTCGCGGACCAGAGGGGCAAGCTGTGGGCTGGGTTAGCCACATACTGGATCACTAAGGGCAACTTCGAGAAGGCACGGGATGTCTTTGAGGAAGGAATCACTACTGTCATGACGGTTCGTGATTTCACTCTCGTCTTCGACTCCTATGTCGAGTTCGAGGAGTCTATCATTGGAAGCTTGATGGAAGGCGCTGCCGCCCGCTCTGACAAAGGCAAATCCGACGAGGACGCCGATTTTGATCTTGACCTCCGCATGCTGCGCTTCGAGCAGCTGATGGACCGCAGACCATTCTTGGTGAACGACGTACTTCTACGGCAGAACCCCCACAACGTCATCGAATGGGAGAAGAGGGTAGCACTCTGGGGCGATAACAAGGAAGAAGCTGTCCACACCTACACAGATGCCATTGCTGCAATTAACCCGAAGAAAGCGCTTGGAAAATTCTCGGAGCTTTGGGTCAATTATGCCAAGCTTTATGAGAACGGAGGGGACTTGAATACCGCAAGAGTCATTTTCGACAAGGCTGTCAAGGTTCCATTCAAGTCTGTAGCTGAACTGGCAGAGACCTGGTGTGAGTGGGCCGAAATGGAGCTCCGCGCCGAGAATTTCGATAGAGCAGTCAGTATTATGGCGAAGGCGACACAGGCACCTAAGAAATCGACGGTGGACTACTTTGACGAGACATTGTCTCCGCAGCAAAGAATCCACAAGAGCTGGAAGCTATGGAGTTTCTATGTTGATCTCGTTGAGAGTGTTTCGTCTCTGGACGAAACCAAAAAGGTGTACGAGCGAATCTTCGAGCTTCGCATCGCCACAGCCCAAACTGTCGTTAACTATGCCAATCTCTTGGAAGAAAACAAGTACTTCGAAGAGTCTTTCAAGGTATACGAGCGAGGCTTGGATCTTTTCACGTATCCAGTTGCATTCGAACTCTGGAACTTATACTTGACCAAGGCTGTGGACCGGCAGATTGGCATTGAGCGACTCCGAGACCTGTTTGAGCAGGCCTTGGAGGATTGTCCCCCCAAGTTTGCCAAGTCTCTTTACCTGATGTACGGCAACTTAGAAGAAGAGCGCGGTCTCGCACGGCACGCCATGCGGATCTACGAGCGTGCAACTCGGGCAGTGTCTGACGAGGACCGCTTCGAGATGTTCGAGTTCTACATCACAAAATCGGCCTCTAACTTCGGTCTCACATCTACCAGACCAATCTACGAGCGCGCCATTGCCGCGTTGCCCGATCAGGAGGCCAAAGAAATGTGTCTCAAATTCGCCGAGATGGAGCGACGACTTGGCGAGATCGACCGTGCTCGTGCGATCTATGGCCACGGATCTCAATTCTGCGATCCCCGGACAAACGCTCCCTTCTGGCAGAAGTGGGAGGTATTCGAAGTTAACCACGGAAACGACGATACTTTCGCCGAGATGCTTCGTATCAAGCGAAGTGTCCAAGCTCAATACAAGTATGTGATCCCCACCATAAAGCTAACGACGCATTTTCTAACGTCATCTACAGCACGGACGTCAACTTCATTGCATCGCAAGCCATTGCCAGGAGCCAACAGCAACTCCAGACAGGCGAACCAGGTGAAGTTGACGAGGACCAACGACGCGCAGATGCCATGGCGGAACTGGAGCGTCAAGCTCGTGCCCCAGTTGGCTTCGTGGCCGCTACCAGCGGTCCGGAAGGGGGTAACCGTCCTCCTCCCGCCGGCCAAAGACCAGCTGCTGCCGAAGCCAACCCCGACGCTATTGATCTTGACATGGACGAGGAATAGACGGAGAAGTCGATATGGGCCATTTTTTTCAAGAGAAAGGGAACATTCTATGAAGCTTCTTTTGTTCGACTCAATCCCTATCTCTTTGTTCTTTCTGTGTCTCCTCCATCGAATTGTATGTTGTATACTTGCTATCTTTACGCTTTCTAGTATGAGTGTTGCTTGCGGCTGATCGCCACCTCCCCTTTTCTCTGCTTCCAGCACACTGCATCTCAAATCATGACTTGTTTTTCTCTGTTAACCAGGGGATTTCTGTCCTCTTTGATTTCTGTTCGATTTTAATGTGTTTGTCTTGGGATACCTGATTCAACGTGGCGTTCTGGTGTTGTATCTGTATGTATAGATTGACCACAGGAATGATACACCTGTGTCGCAACTTGTCCAGCTCGATATGTTATAACTACGAAGGTCCATTCAATCGAATTCCGAGTACCAAGTAAGCCTTACGTTGATATGGAACCAGCCTTGACATTCATTCACATATCATAGGTACAACGAACGTAAACGGAAACATGGATAGTCTTCTCGCACGCAGCGCCGACCATCAAATCGAGCTATATCTACATGTAGAACATAAACCCAGCGCTATTCCAAGGTTAAATGTAAAAAGAACAGGGAAGTCGAGAGATTAAGAAAGATACATCGTACATCCGCGGAAATGGTTCAACACTCCTTAGGAGGTACTTTCCTCTTCCTTTTGAGGGGTTTGGCTCTCGGCATTAGCACCCTCCTTTGGTTCTTCGCCGTCCTGCCCGGGCGCAGTATCTTCGCTCTTCTGCTCTGCCTCGCTAGCCTTCTCTGTTTCATGGGGCTGCTCTGGAGACGAGACGGCAGAACCCGGAGCTGGCCTTTCGGGCTCGTTGGAAGCATCGGGGAAGATCTCCGAGAAGAGATCTGGCAAGAAGCGGCCAAGGCGTATGCGAGTCTCGACCCAGATTTCCTCCTTGCTTGGGTCTTGGGATGGGGCCACGAGGTAGCCTCCATCGGCCATGACTAGGAGGATATTCTTCAAGCTCTCGGGGACTGCTTCTGCCTGCGAGATTGAGAACAAGATATGTTAGATGGGAGTGGTCTTGGTATGCTTGAGTGGTCGGGTGGAATAATCGACTTACCAGGCTATCGCCCTGACCACTGTTCATCATGCGGTCAAGGATGTCCAGGATCCTGAGCCAGAGAGGGAGCATACCCGTCCGGTTGGGAAGCTGATCAAGGAAGCGCAGGAAGATCTTGCAGACCAAAGTCGCGGCTTGGAATCGGGTCTCGCTCATACCAACTGGGTCGGAGTGGTAGACCTCGGGCTTCAGGAGAAGCAGGACGAGAGGGAATAGGACTTCATCGAAGATGCTAGCCCATTCCTTGTCATCACCTGAGATCAGGTCGGCAGATAGAAGAGATCGCTGCAGCGTGGAAATAGCATGGTGTCGGATATCGCGACATGGGTTGATGCATTGACCGGTCAAGGACTGGAAGATAGGCGACCAGTAGGCGGCCCAGGCTAGGAATTCATATATTAGAAATTCGGTTGCAAAAAAAATATCAGAAGATCGGTCGTTACCTTCGTTCTCCTCAAGATGAGATTGCTTGATAAGAGCCGGGACTCGTCCAGTCAGATGGTAGATCAGGCCAATTGCCTTAACGCCGCGAGTCACAACTTGGTTCTCACTATGGGAGGAGAGGTAAGTATCAACACTAGAGAGAGTTGCATGGTACCCTTACCTCGACTTAGATTGTTTGACCCCCTTATTACGACGGGCCTGGGCATCCCTGTGTCGTTCTTCGATAGATCCCACACGCCCGGCGCTGACGAAGTCATTGGCCAGGCTGACTACGAATTCATAGTTGTCGGCCGTGATGATATCGGGCATTGACTCAACAATGCTTTGTAGAAGTTCGAAGACAAGAGAAGCGACTGCCTCGTGTTGGTGAAGTCTTTGCAAGATCGACCAGAAATCCGGAGAAATTGTGAT